AGGAAGGAAGGAAGGAAGGATCATTCAGAAGGGGCTATTTTTATGTTTGTACAATAAAAGAATATTGAACTGGTAGAGTGAGAATATTTCACAAGTGCAGAGTAGCAATATATTCTGACAATTTCTTTGTCAAATGTTAAGCTCTTGGCATTAAAATGCACTCTGGAGTGGAAGTAATACCAGCTCACATATGATTGTCAGATCTGACTAAGCGGGTGCTCTCCTGCTTGATGTGCAGACAAATACACACACAGCTGGGTAGTATAACACACCGCTCTTCTCATATGCAGGGAGCTGTCACACATGTGTCAAATACATCAAGCCACTTGCAGATTCCACCAAAATAAAACAAAAAGGGGGGGGGGAGGGTGTCTGGGGGAGAGAGAGCCTGCTTTGCCAACTGGTTGGTTGATGGCGTGTTTATGTGAGTGCAATGTGTATGTATATACACGACGTTTGCAAAAATCTCAACGGATAAAATGCTTTCAGAAACAGAAATTCATTCCCAGACAGAAATAAATACTGTGCAAATTTTAAAATGCATGTTTAATGGGGTAAAGAATGGCCTTGTCCAAATAAAAATGCTTAACAACAATTCTTTTCACCTGCTCCTCCCACCACTTCCACTTTTTTCCTCTGTGTCTGTGTGCGTGTGTGTCTTGATTTAGTACTAGTCATTTGTTCCAGTTCTATCTCAAGAATGAGCACAAAATGGAAAATAAGAATACAAAAGCTAACTGCTTATTGTTTAGAGTGATGTAATGCTTGCAATCACTGTTGACATCATTTAGGCATTTTTCTAAGGGTGTGCACAACATGAAAATAAGCTTTCTTTTAAACCTAGAACAAAACAGCCCCAGTCAAAACTCAAAATGATGTGAGTGTTCCGTGTTGCAACTGAACCAAATGTTTTGTGTTCTGGCCCCTAGGAAATACTGTAATAAGAAATAAAAGAAATAAATATAAGCCCTCTGCTCCCTTGTTCTTCTCACCAGAGCCACAAGAGTAAAAGTGAGAGGAAGGGGGAGACAGAGCTAGAGAAGATCAAGCAGTTCATCTTACTGCTACCAGCCATTCAACTTGCAGAAATAATAGCTGAAGGGATGATGTTTAAAATAATGATGTCTGCAATTGTCCATACCAGCTAGAGATTCTGTAAGACACAGTCCAATGTATCTGGAGGAAACCAAGTTTGAGAAACATGGACCTAATAGAATTTTGGTCTGGTGAAGAAGAGATTTTATTCTAATATTCTGGAAAGAGTACTGTAGAGAATTCAATATAAACAACAGGGCACAGTTTTGGGGAGCTGGGTAGTTTGAAAATGAACTCAAATTACATTTCAAACATTAGCCCAACAAATGAAAATATGTATGAGTCAGTCATGATGTGTTGATCTACAGATAACAAGAAGTAAGTCTGTGTGAATGGGATTTCACTTTTCTCCAGGAAGGCCTGCTTTATGTTGAGAACCAAAAAGTGTCTATTTATTTCACTCAGGAGCTAGAAATCCTGCTGGCATCCAAGTGTTTCCTTTTCCTTCCTCTTCCTCCTAATTGTCAAGACTATACAACACAGATGTTGCATATAGCCCCATCTGCTTGCCAGCATCTGAAATGGATGCTGCACACCCTTCACCTGTGTCAACACAAACTTAATTGAAAGCCAAAAATAAGGTACTGTAGGGCTTTCTCCAAAGGGAGCAGTGTGGTAGCCCATTTGGGGTCTCAAAAGTATAAATGACAAATAATGCTTTCAGCTGTGAAGAATTTGTTCTTTGGGAAAAAGACAGAAATTGTTTATTCTCTAGTACCTACAAAGCACAGGGATGGGGAATAAATATGAGAAGCTGATCTACACCATAAATACGCCATCTGATTCAATTATTCATGTAGGCCACTAGAGTTTACTTCAGTCTTGCTCAACATGGGGCATCAGTTGTACTGTGGTTATAATTCCCTAAACTTCCAATGTTTATCTGCCATGCTGACCCGGGAATTTTGGAAGTTGTCATTCCAGGACATCTGAAGGCCACCCGGTTGGAGTAGACTATTTTACAAGTCTGGTTAGCAGCTTTCCAAGGATTCAGACAGGAGTATCTCTTATGTCAACCAAGAGGCAGAAGTATCTTCTGCATGTAATAGATACATTCTACCACTAAGGACCTGCTGATGAATGCTATATACAATCATTCTTTTTCAGCATCCTTGATTCAGTTAGAAGTTACAATAAACCCGTGTTGGATAACTTTTAATGGCCAAAAGCCTGAATGGGTAGAGAGATGTCGCAAGATGGAAGGAACCAATGATGCATATCAGCACAACTGGGATTTTCCATGTTTTCTTGGATGTGAAAGGTTTTTGTGCACTCACACATTAAGAGGTGTTATGCTTACTTTAGCACCTCCTCTTTAGATGTCATGTATTTCCCACCTCAAAATGACAGGAACTTTTGACATCAGTTTTCAGCAAGCATGGTCAGAAGTCTTTCTGGATACTACAAAAATGAGCAGACGTCATAAAAACATGTAA